GAGGCAGAGGAGAGATGGTTCAATGGTGTCTTCCCATAGTTCTTAGAGGCAGAGGAGAGATGGTTCAATGGTGTCTTCCCATAGTTCTTAGAGGCTTTCTGCCCCTCCAGGTCTGCCTTTGTAAACACTGAACATGACTGTGAATGCATTCCTTTCCAGAGACCAGCTTCATCGCCAGCCACAGAATAGAGCTGGGGCTCCTGAGGAATCCTTGGAGCGCCCTGCAGAACTAAGGCCGCAGGGTCCCCAGGCTCTGTCCCCAGCTGCTGTGCCTAGACCCCCTAGTAACCTTCCAGCCAGAGGAACTCTGAAAACAAGCAATTTGCCAGAAGAATTACGTAAGTTGCCTGCACCGTTTTCTTCTTCTTGTTTAGTTCTTGTACTTTGAGAGGACTTGGTGATCATTCATCACAACCCAGATATTTCTCAGATTGACAGTGATATAAAATTTACTTTTTTGCTTTTTGCTTAAAAAGTAACCAGCATTTTGTATGAATGTTTTTAGTGGTTCTGACATTACCAGGAAGGCTCACAAACTGCTTACCTCTGGATTTTCTTAAACATGTCTCTAAAAACAAGTAACTTCAACACCTTCACTCGCTCCTATACCATGCTCTTCATGGACTTGTCTCTGGATAAATTGATTGGATCTCCCTGTGGTGGGACAGGGGCCTAGCATCTTACCATAAATTAGCAGCAGCCACCAAGAATGAGGACATTTCCTGTAGGAATGAGCAAATCTTGTTTAGAAAATAATGGTCTCACATTCTCCATACCGCTTCACAACCAAATCCAACCTAAGCCTTTTATTTAAAAGAAACATTCCAGGAAGCATCAGGTGATGACTCTTTTTCCACATTTGCTTGCCAGAACCGGAAATGTTGAAATATCACCAAAATATTCTCATATTAAAGGTCAGTTAGGACAGTAAGTTCCAAGAACCTTAAGAAAATAGCCACTACTTGTGAAATTACCCCCTGTGGTTGCTCGAGAAGCTCAGGTAATTCTCAAATGCACTTTCCAAGTCTGGGACCCTCTTAGAACCCAACTTGAAAGGAAGCCCTTTTCATTTGCTAATGCCTTTTGGGGGATCTGTGCTCTTTAGTCCTGGACAACCCTAAAAGATTTAAATCTATGACAATGATTCACAGCTGTCGTCATTCAAGCAATTTTATTTCTGAACATTTTAATAAAAGCTCATACATTTTAATTTTGAGCATTTCTGGAGGATGGATGCTGCCCTGCATAGGATATAACCCTGTTATCATGCTATAGATCATGTATATCTTACTATAATCTATTAAGGGAGTCTGAAAATTACATGGGAATTGAGTGAATATTAGGTGTTGAGAAGAAAATAAATTGAGTGTCATTAATATGCGTGACTGCTTAAATGAGCAAACGTGACTATTACACACACCTTCATCTGAGAGATGAGTTTTAAAAAACAAGAGCCTAGCTCGGCGCCTATAGCTCAACCGGCTAAGGCGCCAGCCACGTACACCTAAGGTGGCGGGTTCGAATCCCCAGCCCGGACCCGCCAAACAACAATGACGGCTGCAACCAAAAAATAGCCGGGCGTTGTGGCGGGCGCCTGTGGTCCCAGCTACTTGGGAGGCGGAGGCAGGAGACTCGCTTGAGCCCAGGAGTTGGAGGTTGCTGTGAGCTGTAATGCCACGGCACTCTGCCCAGGGGGACAGCTTGAGGCTCTGTCTCAAAAAAAAAAAAAAAAAAAAACAAGAGCCTAAGCAGAGATGAATACAAACACACTCCTATTTTCTCTCCAACCCACCTTTCTTCTCCACCCTATGCCCCAGGGACGTCCTAAAATTTAACTGGTCCATTCTAGACTAAAAGCCAACGTACAGAGATTATTCAGCTCTCACATTAAAATGCTAGCCAGACATTTTCCCCAAGACTTTAGCCTGAGAAAACATTTGTTCTCATCCGGACTGGGTCAGGCCTGTCCAGAGCGGCACTGTCTGCAGCTCTAAGCTGACCCGGGCATGAGGCAGGGAGTCTGCAATGTTGGATGGCCCAGAGGCAGTATTTCTCCTTCAAGCTGCTGAAGATTTTTACTCACATTTCTGAGCAGTGCTTTTTTCTGGCCAACGTGCTGGCCCTTCTCCAAGAGTGAGTGGATGGGAGCAGGGAGGGGGAAGGAGGGGGAAGAACTGCTTCCTCACCCCTCAACCCCCATGTGCTCTTGTCACACAAGAGTTGAGGGCAGCTGAGAGCATCATGAGATCAAAAGAGGACACTGCTGGGTGGCCCCATAGCAAGTCTTAGCTTCTTGGCCTGCTGAGAGAGTATTCCTTGGGCATGGTGCCAAAGTATCTCTAAGAAATCAGATGGTGGCCAGATCTTAAGGACCCATAGATTCTGGGTGGTGGATTTTTTTGTTAACCCTTCATGTGGTTTTTCAGAAGACTTCTTAAGCTTGTGGGCTGCCAGTGGTCTCCTCTGTCCCTCTGATTTCCCTTCAGCCTGAGCAGTGACAGATCCCTCTCTCCTTTGGGACCTGAAGAGCTATGCCCTGAGGACAGCAACCCACAGTTAGACCACCCCCAACCCATTCCATTTATTATTCTAGAAGAACAAAAGACATTGTATACAATTTAGAATTGTTGTTTAGAATAAAATAATTGGACTAGTTTCTAATAAATGTGGAAATTTTCTCTTAGGGAAAGTTTTTATCACTTATTCTATGGACACAGCCATGGAGGTGGTGAAATTCGTGAACTTTTTGTTGGTAAATGGCTTCCAAACCGCAGTAAGTATTGTATCCAAATGGATAACTGAACAGTTCTAGTGAAGACTGTGAAAAAAAAAATAGAAGAGAAAGTATAATAGCTATTGATGTTTAAATGATATTATTTGATTTATGTGATGATACATATAAGAAATTATTTTCTGGCTCGGCGCCTGTGGCTCAACCGGCTAAGGCGCCAGCCACCTACACCTGAGGTGGCGGGTTCGAATCCCCAGCCTGGACCCGCCAAACAACAATGACGGCTGCAACCAAAAAATAGCCGGGCGTTGTGGC